AGATCTCTTGCCTTGGTCTCCGTTTTTCGCTTCCTTGACATTTGACGTAGGCGCCAAACTAGTCAAGCAGGATCTTTGCGAGGTTTTTATGCACTTGAAGTCATGTAGGAAAGAATGTTCTCGAAAAGGGTATACGTGCGCGCACAGTCAGGAATAAGTTTTTTTTTTTTATGTGGAACGCAGGCGCATAGTCTTCATCGCGCAAATGTCTGCTGCATACGAATGTCGATGCAGGCTTGTCGTTGATGATGAGGTTGTATCTCGCAATATTCTTTTTTCAGTTGCTGCATAGCTCAGTATTGTTTGAGAATTGGTGAGAATAAGGAACATTGGGTGTTTTCCCCGAACGGGACTTGCAATACGGCATTATGCCGATCGAGCGGCCGTGATCGAACCCAGCAATACACCTTAACGCAGGCCCCGCCGCGGTAGTCTAGTGGCTAAGGTACTCGGCTGCTGACCCGTATGTCGCGGGTTCGAATCCCGGCTGCGGCGGCTGCATTTCCGATGGAGGCGGAAATGTTGTAGGCCCGTGTGCTCAGATTTGGGTGCACGTTAAAGAACCCCAGGTGGTCGAAATGTCCGGAGCCCTCCACTACGGCGTCTCTCATATTCATATGGTGGTTTTGGGACGTTAAACCCCACATATCAATCAATCAAACACCTTAACGCAGCTAATATATATCCATGTGAGTAATGCGCAAACTAAAGAATGTGCGACTGCCTTCTGGACTCAAAAAATTGCTCTAGACTGAACACTGACAAAGCACCGAATGAAATGCGGCCGTGGTGGGTAAATACCACAATAAAGCAAGCCACACTAGAGATAAAAGGCAATTCTCAACAACCTGCTTGTACCAATAAGCCACAATAGAATTTATACAAATTTTCCCGGAAAACCGCCGCTTACTTGCCGAAAAGTTGTAGTGTCGTCAATTTCCATTTCTAAACATGTTGTTCTACAAACTATAGAGATAGCGCAGAGCTCATTTGCCCTACAGCTTTAGTTTCGTGGTAAGCGGCTTGTGAGCGTAAGCAGCTGCGTACTTCGTTCACATTCTTCGTGGACGTGGCGTGCAGTACAAAGGAATGCAAAAAGGCTTGGCGTCTCCGGAATCAATATTTCCGGGTGGTGTTAAGACCTTGACAATTAACACTACCACTCTCTGTGCGTGCCGTTCAAAGACGTTTTACAGCACAAAGGGCCTTCTCTCTCTCTTTTTTATTTTCTTTCTCTTTATACACAGTTTTAGCCACTAGATATACAACATATGTACGTGTTTAAAAGAGTTGTGAGGCTGCAGACAGCAGCTATTAGCCCTGAAAACACTCCAAATGTATTTGGAGTAATACAGGAAAACGAAAAATAGCTAGATAAAGGAAGACGCGCTCGTCGTTCTGTGAGCGGCCTCTCTTTATTGCGACGTCATTGTCTGATGAAACCAAGAGCCAAAACTGTTTAGGGCTCTCTGATTGCAGAACAGGTGCAGCATTCTTCTTCTCTCTCTCTGATCGTTGCAACTGCTTCATGCCTTCTTAATTATGCCTCTCATTAGCCAATTTTGCTGCATTTTCACGGAGTTTCAGCTTGTATTATCCACGAGCACATACATACCTACATTAAGTGGCAAGCCGTCTGGTAAATTAGTTTTCATTTAGTAGACGATCCGCCCTCTATCCTCGATTTCTTTAATAATTCCGCTCCCCCTCTTCGTCGAGAACCCCCATTCCACGGTTTCAAATTGACAAACTTCCTTGTGCCATGTGCACGACGCAGACTATGCAATGTAAGGGTCGCTGCGCCCCTATCACCGACGGATGGCGAAACATGCTCAGAAACTTTCGCATTGTATTCGCGACGGGTGAGAAGGCCGTAAGGAAAGAAGCGCGCGCAGGTGCAGTCTAGCCCGGGCATGCGCGCAGGGGGACTCGCTAGCTGGATTTCATGCCGACCGGTGGCTGTGCCCTCGCGGTCTCCGACGACAGTGCAGCTCTGGCTGACTGGGCTTGCCCATATGCCATCTCCTGACACCGATCTCCGACGGCAGCACAGCTCTGGCTGACTGGACTCTCGTCGAGTGGTGCCCCGTCCTCGGACTCCTGCGACCGTGTCCATCTTTCTTAACTCCTCTTTACTTTCGTCGCTAACTGTCCCTGCGCCTCGCTCTCTCCTTCCTCTCTCTATATATACCTTTTAATCCTATCCTTTTAATCTCTCCTTACCCCCATCTCTTGTGAGCTACTGTTTAGGTGTCGCACTCTGATGGAGACAGTTACGGGGCTCACTTTTCTATTTTTTACCCTTTAGGAATCACATAAGAAAGCGCAGGAGCGGTGAGCGCGCTCATTTGTCGTCTTCTGCAGTGGCGGCCACGCCGTCCCCACGCCTTCAAATTTCTCCGCAGGCTGCATGGCCACGCTTAGATGGAGAGCTGGGGCAAAGCTGAAAAGAAATTAGATTTGGTAAAATACTACATGATTGATATTTGTGGTGGTTAATGAAGTATTACTCCTTCTTTAAGGACGTAGATATTTTTTCTAACATGGCTATATAAAAGAAAATACACTTTTTCCTTGTGGAGTGCGTATTTTCTGCGCACCAATGCAGATTCAAACTGCTGCAGGGCGTAAGCTGAACAAAATTGATAAGCGCCTTTAATTGACGCCACCAGAAAGGTTTCTCGAAGTAGGCAATTCTTTATCTAACGAGATGGCGAACTAATGACGGCAATCTGGCTGATGTGTCAAGTGAGATTTATTTTACTGTACATCCTTCTCGTCGTTTTCCTTCTAGCTCGAAGCAAAACGACGATTTTTAACAGTGTGTGACTTCAGCCGAGCTTCACGGCGATCCAGAGCGCGGCCACCCCCGCCGTGGTGGTCTAGTGGCTAAGGTACTCGGCTGCTGACCCGCAGGGCGCGGGTTCGAATCCCGGCTGCGGCGGCTGCATTTCCGATGGAGGCGGAAATGTTGTAGGCCCGTGTGCTCAGATTTGGGTGCACGTTAAAGAACCCCAGGTGGTCAAAATTTCCGGAGTCCCTCCACTACGGCGTCTCTCATAATCATATGGTGGTTTGGGGACGTTAAATCCCACATATAAATCAGAGCGCGGCCGCAACTTAGCATACGACAAAAAAGTGCCGCCCACAGCGCTCACTGCTCGTGCGCGAAACTAGTTGCCGCAGAGCCGACCGGCGGTGGCATCGAGCAGACGGCACGTGCTCCGGTTTTCCCTTTAATAGTGGGTCCCTCGTATTAGATAGATAGATAGATCATATCTATCTATCTATCTATCTATCTATCTATCTATCTATCTATCTATCTATCTATCTATCTATCTATCTATCTATCTATCTATCTATCTATCTATCTATCTATCTATCTATCTATCTATCTATCTATCTATCTATCTATCTATCTATCTATCTATCTATCTATCTATCTATCTATCTATCTATCTATCTATCTATCTATCTATCTATCTATCTATCTATCTATCTATCTATCTATCTATCTATCTATCTATCTATCTATCTATCTATCTATCTATCTATCTATCTATCTATCTATCTATCTATCTATCTATCTATCGAGTCATATTCGTCAAACCACTTACCCTTCCATACGAGTTTTGGATTACCCCAAGTTATCGGGGTGATCACGAGAGCAACAAGACGTAGGCGGCTAGATAGATAGATAGATAGATAGATAGATAGATAGATAGATAGATAGATAGATATTCCTTCACATCGACCACCAGTAGCCAAAGTTCGCCGTTTTAGTGATAAACACACACACAAAAAAAATTCCTAGGGACGGCCCTGGTAACCCTGCAGAACATTCTGTGCACATTGGGTACAAGCAGCTGGCCGACTCACCGGCTCGGCAAACTCTCGATCATCAGCACAAAACATTTCACGCACGCAGGGTGCGTGAGGAGAGGCAACAATTAATGTTTTACGGCTGACGTAACACGCGACGGAGCGCTCTTAAGAAAGCTTGCAAGGTTCAATATGTTGAGTTATTTCAGAGCACATATCTTTGAGCATCGCCGTGCCTCGTCCGTCGATGCCCAGCGAACAATCACTGCGAAATACGAAAGAGAAGGTAGAGAGGGTGGCGAAAGAATGAGGAGGAAAGCAGAATGCCACACAAAGCTAGCAGACGGTGCCAGAGGCAAGATTTTTCTATCCAGGGGGAATGGGGGGGGGACTTATGGATGAAGTGGGGGCAGGACATGATTGATTTGTGGGGTTTAACGTCCGAAAACCACTATATGATTATGAGAGACGCCGTAGTGGAGGGCTCCGGAAAGTTCGACCACCTGGGGTTCTTTAACGTGTGCCCAAATGTGAGCAAACGGGCCTACAACATTTCCGCCTCCATCGGAAATGCAGCCGCCGCAGCCGGGAATCGAACCCGCGACCTGCGGGTCAGCAGCCGAGTACCTTAGCCACTAGACCACCGTGGCGGGGCTAGGGGGGCAGGGCAGGTAAATGTGGTCGAGTGACATTTTGTGCACTATATGCCATGAAAAAAAAAGCGTTTCGGGAGGAGGGGGGTGGGGGGTCCACGGACAGGGCGTGCCACCCATCTGCGCCACTGGGCCAGAGTGCCGCGTGTCATCTGGGAAGTTTGTCGGTGGCGGCTGCTGTGTGAATGTGGTGCGGTTGTCTGCTGCCTCGCGCTGGCTCTCTACAGATTATCGACGCAGTTGTACCACGCTTCGCTACATTTGTAGCGTTTCGCACACGAGAAACTTCCAGAACCGGCCAACATATCTCAAAATGAAAATATGTATACAGAGCTGCGTTCATATTTCGCATTAAGTAGTATAGCAATCATTGGTTATGTTTCGCCCACATGCAGCTCAAAGTGCAAAGCGCGGACGCTTCAAGCCTTATTTTTTCTGCCTTCAAGTATACCGGTACATTTTTTTCGGCTATACAAGTCCTGCTTTGAGGATTAGTAAACGTAACGTTCTAATGTGTGCGCGCAGGCTAAGCGGAAGCTGTCGCAATTCGATGCCAACAGACCCCACCACTTCATCAACTCCATGGCTGCGGCGGTCTACTCGAGCATCGCCGCTGCGCCAGCCGTCTCCACGCTGGACATGATCAAGACGCGCATGTATCTGCAGCCGGTGGACAGGCGCGGCCGCGGCATCTACTACGCAAGTGTGCTGGACTGCGTCCGCAAGATATATATGCTGGAGGGCATCATGGGCTACAGTCGCGGCTTGCTCATCGCTTTCCTTTACTCAATCCTCAACTCGTCCATCACGCTCCTTTCATGGGACGAGCTCAAGCGGCTGCGTTTGGAGTCACGTGAACACCGCGAGCTTGTGGTCGAGATCATTCACCAGAAGGGCGTTTGAACGGCTACATATTCTGGCCTGCGCCGGGTCGTCCCTTTAGCAGACAGTTGTGACATTTATATACATTGAGTTGTTCGAAATAAATGATGGCTGCCACTCTTGTTTGGCTAGCCGAAGAAATTCACTTTAATTATTGATGCCCCTATGTGAATGTGAAGTTGTTGATTTTTATTATTGCTTTCTTGTTTCCAACTCGTCGCTTCTGCTCCCTTATGTGTTGGGTCTATGCTCTCGTTAACTTTGAGGGTCAGCATCTCGTACGTTGATCTTTTTTGCTTTTTCTTTTTTTGGATATTGTCACTGACGTAGAAACACACCAGTCTATTGCGCTGCATGTGTTCAGTTGTCAAAAGTGTTTGATTAAAATACAGCCTATATTCACGCACGCATGGGTACAAAAATACATTTTGTATAAACGTATCTGGCTGAGAAGCGGCCAAACGCGCAATCAACCACGCTGCACGTGTAGCAATTATCGTCTAATATTCTGCGTGAACCAAGCGGTTGTGGTGTGGTGCTGCGTTCGCTTTATATCCTCTCCCCCAAGTCTCCACCGAGCATGTGCTGTGAAAGTGCATCGTCGCCAAGTTATTTTTGAGTGCTGTTCTGCAGGACTGCTGCCAAAAGGATTGACCGTAATGAAATTACGATAATCTAATTACTTTCCTGTAATTAGTAATGTAGAGTGATGACTTTTGAGGGCTAAAGAACGGGAATTCAAGGGTCAGTTTCTTTTTTTTAACAGCAAAAGCTTCAGATGCCTCTTTCAGCGCAAAAATTTACCGTTAGCGGCAACGTCAACACGAATACCCGCAGGGCGCGGGTTCGAATCCCGGCTGCGGCGGCTGCATTTCCGATGGAGGCGGAAATGTTGTAGGCCCGTGTGCTCAGATTTGGGTTCACGTTAAAGAACCCCAGGTGGTCTAAATTTCCGGAGCCCTCCACTACGGCGTCTCTAATAATCATATAGTGATTTTGGGACGTTAAGCCCCACATATCAATCAATCAACGTCAACACGAATGATGCAATAAGAGCGTCACGTGTCGACGTCACCATGCGACGGGATGACGGCATCGCAGATGCTAACATTTGAGACATCATCGTGGCGTGACATTATCTGATCAAATGACATGACATCGACGCTTCGTGCAAGGTGAACCGGTCCCGAAGGCAGTGTGAAACCAGGTGAGGTGCCTGCCGACAGCCTGCAACGCCTCCGATCCTGGAAGCATGTGCAGGAAAAGATTACTTGCGCATTCCGGTCTCTTTCGGGTCGCCTTCGGGGCGTCTTCGGGTCGCTTAAGCGAACACGTAATGTATACCCTGTGAGTTTGTTTGGCGCACCCTAAGAGAACCAACAGTAAAGCTAATGAAAGTATACACAATAAGTTTCATAATTATATGTGGAGTGGCAGGGACCAAACCTTCAACTTATGAATAACGCGTCCGATGCCAATGGAGCTATACGGAGGCGGTCGTGCTTCCGTTGACTTTATGGGCTATGCAATATGTGCCCTCAAACCTGTCAGGGCTGCTAGTAATTTAATAATGTAATGAATAGGTGGAGAGACGCTGGAACTTGTAAAAGCATATGTCTTCTTAGGATAGGTAGTAACTATGGAGTCGAACCATGAGAGTGAAATAAATATAGAAGAATAAGGATGGGGTGGATCACATTCGGCAAGCATTCTCAAATCAAGAACTGTAATCTGCCACTAACCATTAAGAGGACGGTATATAACAGCTGCATCTTGCCGGTACTTAACTACGGAGCCAAAAGCTGAAGGCTTGCAAAGAGTGTCCAGCTTAAATTGAGGACGACGTAGCAAGCGATGGGAAGAAATGGTAGGTGTAACCTTGAGAGACAAGAAAAGAGCACAGTGGGTTAGGGAACAAACCGGGGTTAAGGATATCGTAGTTGAAATCGAGAAGAATATTTGCACATGGGCCGGGCATGTAGCGCGTAGGCAGGATAACCGCTGGTCAATAAGGATAACTGACTGAATTCTCAGAAAAAGCAAGTGGGTTAGGGGGAGACAGAAAGTTAGGTGGGCAGATGAGATTAGGAAGTTTGCGGGTACGAAATGGCAACAGCAAGCACAGGACCGAGTTGACTAATAATTGGAGAGGCATTTGCCCTGTAGTAGGCGTAGTCAGGCTGATGATGGTGATGATGATGATGATAATGATGATGATGATGGTGTTGATGAATAACTTCAAACAAGTAGTCAAAGCTTTAACTTTCCCAAGCATGTTTCACCAAAATACAACATTATTGCTTTCCTTATTCTTTATGCATAAAAACGATGAACACGGGAAAACAAAATAACCAAGATAAGTTCATCCGAGTATCAAACTATGCAAGCGTGGGATGGTGAACAAAGGTCTCCGAGATTTCAATGTATATGTGTGCAAAATAAAACATAAATTTGAGTTGGGCTTGATTGATGAACTTTTGTTGAACGAAGGAAAGGAGTGTGCATAAGAGGGCTCGTTTTCTGTTAGATACAATAATAATCAAAACATACAGATAATGATGCCAAGGAAAATATGGGAGACATTATTATTTAAAATGTATCGTAAATTTAAAGCAAGAAAAGTGGACGAGGAGATAACTTACCACCGGCAGGGACCGAGTAGGCCAGGTTTCTTTTCGTCATGTTTTCTTTCTTGACATTTACATTACAATTACTTATAATAACATCCCCTATATTATCTTTGGCATCATTGTTCGTTCTAATAAAACTTGTATGAAACTTTCGTTGAAGTAATTTCAAATAACTTTATTGCTTTTCAGAAGTGACTACAGTGTAATGACATTACTTTGAGCCAGCCGTAATCTGTAATGTAATAAGACTACATTTACGAAGTACTTGGCAAACCACCGATTTGCCTGGATGTATATTATCACCATGAGCGCTTGAAATGCAATAACTTTACCATTGCAGCATTCTCGCTGCGCCGATTTGCCCGGTGTGAGATGCGATGACTCGGAGGGGCAAGGGAACCGAGTACAAAGAAAGAGATAGAAAGAAAAAGAAAGAGAAAGAAATCCAGAGAAGGAAATCTATAGAGAAAGAAAACAAAGAAATACACACAGACAAAAATACATAAAATGAGACAGACATGAAAGACAAAAAACAGAGGAAGCCAGAAAAAGAAAAAGAGAGAAAGGACGATGAGATAGAAATAAAGAACGAGGAAGCGAGACATAGAAAAATAGAGAAATAGAAAAATCGAAAGAAAGAACAAGAGAAAAGGAAATAGAAAGAAAGAAATAGGAAGAAACCGAGACAACAAGATATAAAAAAATGAGTAGAAGATAAACAAAAAAGGCCTCCCAGCCCCCTGTTGCAGCATTGCACCACTTGCCCAAGGTGCGCAAATGTTTTTTAGAAAAGTAATTAGTAATGTAATTTGATTGTACGTTTTAAATGTAGCTTTGACACCTCCTGCTTGCGTGGGTTCCGCGGCCTCGGAGTTAACTGTTTTGTCGAATGTGGCCGATGCTCACGTGGTCGCTTCGCGTCAGCTTTTCGCGCGAACTGCATTGATGACAGTTGCGTGGGACACAGAGCAGCAAGACCATGACATGTAAATCATGACATTCATGACATACGTATATTTTCATGTTATGAATACTCACCTATGCTGGCCTTACAGTCTTGTTGTGTCATACCAATTTTGTTATAGATCACATTATTTAAATGGCCAGGATAGGTAAAAGTCGTAGGCGGCTAGATAAATACATACGGGCAAAGTCACCGATGTTCGCTAAGAAATGCTTCGTATTTAAAAAGACTCCGGTGGGCGGAATCGAACGTCTGTCCCCTTGCTTGTGAGTGAGATGCATTATAGCCACTCAGCTACGAAGGAGCGCCTCCTAGAACGTTGAAGCAGAAAGCTATTTATATCATCCATTTACCGCTGGCGATGGCCACCTCGGGGGAACCATGGCATTCGACATGGCGGGCGCGGCGTCTTTCCCTCCTCCGTCCCAATCACCCCACTCCCCAGCTAATTGAACGAGTGTCGCCTCGCGCTCCCCAGGTCTTTAGTGAAAGCATTTGAATCGTCATCGTTTCCTTTTTTGTCACCTAAAATTTGATTCTGTTTTGGCGGTAGAAGGGCAATATCAGTGTCGTGTTCATTTACTGTACTCTTGACTGCATCAAAATCAAAGGGTCGCACACGTAGCATATTGATGGTGATATGTGACAAGGAAGGCTTGTTGCATCCCTCACAGGAGCTTTTCCTTGGCCCGACATTCCCAAATGAGTGCAAAGTTATATAAAAGCACAAAACCATTTTTTGTCGCCACATGCAAGCTTCGCCTACAGTGCGTCAGCCTTTTGATGATGATGATGATAATGATGATGATGATATTGATAATAATAGGTGATTGTTCCCTTTGAATCAGGTGGTCACAGATATTGTGACCTAGCCGGTAAAAAAAGAAAGGAAAAACAAGAAAAAACCAGAGATAAGACGTCTCAGAACAGACAGCGGGGCAAGCACTTTTCGACCCTACAAAGGAGCGCTGTAGTGCGAAGAAAAGAGTAGGCCACGCTCACCTATAGAAACATGCTCTCTCCGTGCGATTGGGCCAGCCGTTGAGAAACTACAGTGTTCTAGAAGGGTGTACTGGGATCAGCAGCCGGAGCGCCCTACGAAGTGAGGTGGCGAGTGCGGACGAGACCCGGATGTTGGTGGCGGCGCTGTAGTTCTCTCCTGAGTGCGCAAGATCCCCCTGCTCAGGAAGCCAGGGTTGCTGCAGTGCATCATCTGATTAAGAAAGGGACCCTAGTATCAGCTGAACGCATGTTTCGGAGTATTCCTGCGGTGCACAGAGAGTTGGTAGGGCAGAAGAGCGATGACCATCTAATACATTTTGTGGCAGATTATGTTGCTCAAAATTAGGTTTATGAAGCGTCATGAGTGCATGCCCTGCAATACCTTTATTTCGGAAGCCCCTAATACGGAAAGCAGAAACACTGAG